TGCCACAGCCTTTTTGTGTTGCTTTTATTATGGAGATTTGGAAGTTAGTTAAGATAAGGATGTTAATGTTAGCCTCGCCTTCTACTCCAGTCCTGAGTTTAGAGAAAGTTACCCTTGTGGGTACAACAAGGGTGGGCAATGTTTTCTTGGTTGAAGGCTATACCTGTATCTTGGTGCTTTGCTTGGTGGAGGCTGGTTGTGCCTCTTATGATTGGGGGGAATTATAAGAGGTATGATCAGACGGTCTGGATAAAGCTGACATTTTTGGCCTGGGATTGGGGAGTGGAGTTTTAAGTGGTGAAATGGCTAACTCAAGCAGAGTTTTATGGACCTGTTCATTTCAACTTCCACTTCTAAAAAAAGGAATATTTGGCCCATTGGGATTTTTAAGGGACCAATGAGCATCTTAGGTCTTGCCCCTTTAAAATCTTTCCAAACCCAGCAATCCAAACAAGCACATTGTGTCCTACCCACTATGTGTGCGTGCGTGCATGCAGCCTGCAAGTTAAAGAGATCGATTTTTATTTTTCTCCATTATATCTAGAATAAGAAGCAAGGTTGCAAAAATGAAGAAGTTTTGGCTGTGCTAGGACATGAGTTGGGACACTGGAAACTTGGCCATACCATTAAAAATATTGTCATTAGCCAGGTATGTAAACAAAAAATTGGGCACCTATCTTTTGTTTATCACTGTTTACTAATAAAATAAAATGGCTCCAGATTTCTGCTATAATTTTACACCTCTGTTGTATACAATTGAGAAAATGGAATGAGGACATATGAAAGCGTTGGTACAACAGACTAAATGACACATGATGTGGGACATCTGAATCTTTAATCTCTTTTTAAGTTATAAAAGCGACCCTGAAGAGGTGTAGGTATCAGTGGACTGGATCAGAACTCGATGGGATTACTCCTCTTTCCATGCATTATTTAAGTGTTTGAAGTGTTCTGGAAGATGCTGTTTCTAGTAGCGTGAATGCATATGGTGGGAAAAAATAATTTGAGATGGGGCAAGGAGGTGTCTTCCTCCTGGACTTTGGAGAAGGCTGTTGAGCAGAGAATTAGCAAGAGAAGGGATTTTGAAAGCGTTTTATTTGCCAGTTGATTAAATTACTTATTCTGTTATCTTAATTTGAATACGTTTTACTTCTCATCTTTACGAGCTGCTTTTATTTATCATTATTTTATCACTGCCATTTTATGTTTTAAGCTGCCTTGGTAATTTTGTAGCAGACTGCAATAGAATAACCTGGAAGACTGCTGGCTCTGAGTTAGGTGCTTAGCCAAACAAAAGTGAAAAAGTCCATCTAGAGCTTGGGGATGGATCCACATTATATAAAATCTTTCTCCACAGAAGGGTGCCTGGCCCTTCTACTAGGGGAGGTTCCTGTATTTCCACATCTGCAGAATGGCTTAGAGAATGCTGTGGTGGACCACACTAAAGACTTCTCTGGTACAGCATTCTGTGCCCATGGTGGCCAAAAAGATGCTCCGGGAAGTCTGCAAGCAGGACATACAGGTAGTCCTTGCTTAACGACCATTCATTTAGTGACCATTTGTAGTTACAACAGCACTAAAAGTGACTTACAACCAGTGCTCAAATTTACAGCCTTTGCAGTGCCCCCGCAGTCATGTGATCATGATCCGGGCGCTTGGCAAGCAGCTTGCATTTATGACAGTTGCAGTGTCCTGAGGGGTCACATGATTGCCATTTGCAACCTTCCTAGCTGGCTTCTGGCAAACAAAATCAATGGGGAACCTTGTGATTTACTTAACAACCACACGATTCGCTTAATGACCGTGTGATTCACTTAACGAACCCTGCAAAAAAGGTGGTAAAATTGGGTCCACTCGTGATGATTCGCATAACGATTGCATCGCTTAGCAACATAAATTCCAGTCCCAGTTGTGATCATTAAGCGAGGACTACCTGTAAATGACATAACACCCACTTCCCTCTTTTATTACCCAGCATGTGGTATCCAACCTCTGATATGGGAAGATAAAAATGAAAAATTAGCTATTAATAGTCTGTTTAATGCACGTTCGTAACTTTATGTACTCAGCTTGCTAAAACAAAACAAAGCATACCAGCTTTATTGTGGTATTTTTTTTCTATCTGAGTGCCCAACTCATTTATTATAGATCATTTTTAGTATAACATTCAAGGTGGTTAATAATTCCTAACACCCTGTATCTTGTTTTCTGTCAGATGAACTCCTTCTTATGTTTCTTCTTATTTGCGGTGTTGATCGGTCGAAAGGAGCTCTTTGCTGCCTTTGGATTCTATGAAACCCAGCCTACCCTGATAGGCTTGCTGATCATCTTTCAGTTTATTTTCTCACCTTACAATGAGGTAAACTCCAGTTTAGATGGGCACTTTGCTCAAATGATAGGAGCTGCTTTGCTGGCAAAGTTGTCTGTGTTCTGTGTTGAATACTTGCGCTCCTAAATTACTGTTACAATTTGTCTGTATGTGTTGGATCCCAACACCCTCCCATGAAAGGAGACAGGGAAGTGGACTTTTCTGCTCCTCGCTCTCCATCCAGCCCCTTGGACTCCCCAGAAATGCTTCTCCCAGGGCATCTTTCTGAATAGGAAGGAAGCTCACAAAAACACAGGAGGAATTATCTTCCACCCCCCTCAGAAATTCTTATCTGATGTTTTTCAAAACCCTTCCCTCTTCCATGTTATAGTCCAACTCACTGAGGCGGCTTCTTTCACTCTTAGTAATATTTTGGGGGGAGGGTGGAATCTGAGATCTGCAGGAAGAAAAGGGAACTAGTTCCTTTCTGCAAGCAATATCTGTATTTGAAGAATTAATCCCGAACATGGCCTATTTTCTTCTCCCTTCTATATTTTGGAAAGTTTGGGTATAGCAGAGCAGTGATGAGACTTGGAGAAGTGGTTTTGGAAGACTCTGAAACTCATTCTGAAATCTCATGCTGTGTCCTCCTATTGTTTCCACTGCAGGTGCTCTCCTTTTGCTTGACTGTATTAAGTAGGCGATTTGAATTTCAAGCTGATGCATTTGCCAAGAAACTCGGAAAAGCTAAAGATCTGTATTCTGCGCTGATCAAGTTGAACAAAGATAACCTGGGATTCCCTGTTTCAGACTGGTTATTTTCAATGTGGCATTATTCTCACCCTCCACTGTTAGAAAGACTTCAAGCACTGAAGGAATCTAAACAGGACTGAGTGAAAAGAACTGTTGGCCCAGAGGAAGAACCTATTGTCCCCAAATCAAGTTCCCCAGTTTTTTAAAAAGAAGTATTACAGTATACCCATTTCATTCCTAAACACAGCATCCTGCATAGTTATATGCGCTGTTCACTTGATTTGAAACTAGCTCCCCAAAGTCCTGTTTTCTACTAACAAATGAATTGTAATCAGGAGTTGAGGGAGAAATGTAACGTGTAACATTTATCTTAATCACAAAGCTATGCTTGAAAGGAAAAATAATTTGTCACAACTGAAGTGTCCATTCTTGAATCTGTGAAAGCTTTCCATGTGACTTTTGTACCTGTTAAGCACTTTGTCCAGATGTTCTTATATGGGAAACTCCTACTTCATCCATGGCAGGGGTGGAGGATAAAGACCTGAAAAATAATTTTTCGACCATTGGAATTTGACATTTCTAAACCCAGTCATCATCCAGATTGGAATAGCAGAGCTTTCTTCCACGGTTCAAGTTCTTATCTGCAACAAAATTACAGAGGTGATGAAAACACCTCCTTCCCTGATAGGGGAAACAGAAAATAAATTACAGATGATATATACCTTGGTTATGTGTCTTAAATATATTACAACGGTTTGGACTTTGGTTTGCCTTGTCTCCTGTACCTAATTTTTCCTGACCGCAAGTAATGTAGGTTTGAGGGATCTCCAAATGACACACAAGGTGTTGGTGTTTCCACAGACACCTCCTTGGTTTCTGTTGGTGCCTTCCCGACTTTGAATGAAAAAAATGGGAAGTTGGGTATTCCAAATCTAAGTGCCAGCCGCCCACCTGTATTTGTTTCCAAGAATGGCTCTGGGTCATGGAAGGCTTTTCTGTTTGGAGTATTCTGGACAGGCAGAGGTTAATATTAGAATGGATGTTTTGTTCAAGTCAGGTTCGTGATAAAAACCTTTAACAAAGCGGTGCGTGGATGCCATCCGCCCACGACTATTATTTCCATACAGGATCGCTTTCCTTCCCCGGGGATCTAAGGGCGTTTTACAAAAGCATAAAATCAATCCGAAATGATCCCATCCTAACATGCTACTAATATTTAAAGTCAACGAATCCAAAAAAGATTTCTTTAAGAAAAATATTTGAGAGAGAGAGAGAGACGGTGGGACGGTCCCCGGATTTGCTGTCGTGCCTTTGCTACACGAGCGTTAAACCGCTAAACCCCTCCTTTGGTCCCCGCCCTCATCCCTCCAGGGGCAGCGGCACTTCCCAATCAAGAGAATTGCATGCGCTGACCCGGGACGGAGGCTACGGCGCGCGCGGACGGACAAAACACCTCGTTTTCCGACTCCCGCTTCCTCGACCGTTTCTCCGGAGGAACAGAGGAAGGCAGGGTTCGGGCGGGGCTAGGCGGATGGTGACGCTAGCCGCGCCGCGGGGGGCGGAGCTTCCGGCGCGCCCGGCCCCCTCCGAGCGGGATTGCCTTTGTCCCTCCGGCTGAGGCGATGCTGTCGTCGGGCAAGAAAGTGGCCGCCGCGGAGGCCCCGGTAAGCGGTGGCGGGAGCGGCGCAGGAGGCGATGGCGCTTCCGAAGCGCCGCCGCCCCCGCCTCCCCCGCCGCCCCGGCCCTCTCCGCTTCTTTGGGGCCGCCGCCACAGCGGCGGAGGCTGGCGGCGCCTCGGAGCGCACGCCCCGCAGAAGGAGCCGCCGCGCGCCTCGCCGCCTGGGGCGTTTATCCGAGCCGCCTCCCGCCGGCCCCGGCCCCGCCGTCGGGCGTCCGAACGACCGGCATCGCCGAGACCCCGAC